TGCACCACCCTCTGTCTTTACAAAGGTAACTATAAACTTTGACATTTGAGGAAGATGTGCAATTATGGCATACATGGAGAAAAAAGTGAATAAGGGCCCCACTGTGTGGGGTGAAAAAAAACCTACACATCACCCCAAACAAACCATCCCCACAGTGACCCATGGTGATGGTAGTATAATGGGCAAGGAAGGTGCCAAGGTTGATTAAAAGAATTGAATAGGGCTAAAAAGTAGAAATATTTAATTATAGACAGCATGTTTGTGAGACCCACACCTCCAAATTACACAATCATGAATCATCATACAGGTTTTCCATCTCTGACACATGATTAAAGTCTAATCAGTCACAACTGAATACAAACATTAATTAAATATCTTGTAAATCCTAATCGGGCTTCGAGGACAACCATGTTGTGGATAACTGTGAATCTTTTAAAATATACTAACAATTAAAGTAAGTAAAGAAAACAACAAAACAGCCATTTAACACTATTGTTTAGATAATTTTGAAGCAACTGTGATTGAAGGATACTAAGTTTATCCAGATTTTGCAGATTTTTGTAAAAATCCAAACTCTAGCTTTTGGAACCACTGCTCTCATTAACTGATTTGTTTTAATAACAAATATTAATATGATTCACATTGACAGTTTGGATGATTTAGTCAAAATATTCAAAGAATGTTTGACCACTATGGAATAAGTGGTATAGAAGATGAATGAATGAATGTTTTAGTTTGTAATCTTTGCTAAAAACAAGCACTCTGAGATTTTCAGAGCCCCCTGAGGGCTGCACGGTGGTGCAGTTGGTAGCGCTGTTGCCTTGCAGCAAGAAGGTCCTGGGTTTGACTCCCAGCCAGGGAGGCTTTCTGCATGGAGTTTGTATGTTCTCCCAGTGCATACGTGGGTTCTCACCGTGTACTCCAGCTCGCCCATAGACTGCTGGAGATAGGCACCAGCTTCCCCGTGACCCAATATGGAGTAAGCAGTACAGAAAATGACTGACTGAATGACTGTTTTAGTTTGTAATCTTTTCTAAAAATGAGCACTCTGAGATTTTCAGAGCCCCCTGAGGTGCTGCATTGCAAGCTGATCCACTTTCTATAGTGCAAATCACAGCACAGGCAACGGTTCACAGTTTGTCTGAAAACATAGTTTTGCCATTGAGTCCAAAAATGCTAAAACTCTCAATTTAAATAAATAAAAGACATTTAGAAATACAGCTGCCTTCTATTTTAAAAACCATTACACACTCTAGAAGATAATCTAAATGGTGAACTGCACTTTGCCAAAAGGAGAGGGATCTTCTAACTATTCATCAATACATTTTAAAGGTCAGTGCCTGGGATTCTACACAGTGCACTAATGTTTCTTTTTTTATATATCTCAGCAGGATGGAGGAATCCCTTTGTCTTTCTGCATTGCGATCGCAGTTCTACTCTGTTCCTGCAGGAGGCGCCTTCCCTCCCCTTCACCCCTCGGCCCTGCAGTTGCACCTACCTGGAGGCCGCTACCCAGGAGAAATTAATCACACAGCTTTCTCTGAGAGGTAACACATCTTTCTTCCTTTCTTGCTCTGGCTGCAGGGCTTTGTAATTTTTCTCTGCAGGGTAAGCACAGGTTGCTGAGTGTGTGTGTGTGTGTGATTATTTTTAGCACACAGTGTGCCTCCTAAAAGCTCATCGCACGTACACAGCCCTTCACACACACCATCTGTACTCCTATACAAATGCATATATACATCTGTGCATGCATAAAATCTCCTGCTCACACACACAGAAATATGTTTTACTCCCTCTGTGCCATTTTCACTCTGTGAGCTTTGAGCTCATTTTCCAGTTTGACATTGTTTCCCTGCAGCATCATCCACAGGGGGAAAGTGTTTGTGTTTGTAATGGATGGTATTTATCGTCCCTGTAATAGCTCCTGCATATCTTGCAGTTTTTTTTTGCTTGCTATTGATTGTTGCTAAATGCGTTCTCTTGTATGTTTGTTGTTTTTTTTGTCATATTCCTGTGGATACCTATTAAGCGTTCATCTGCTCCTGCTCTGTCATGCTGTGCATGGATTATTTTCCTTGTGGTAAATGGAAATTGCGCGTGCACATCCGTGGGGGTTTCAGCGGATGCTTTGTCACAAATGTTTGTGCGAGGTTCAGCAGTGTGTGGTTCATATCTGCCTCAGGTTGGGTGTTGCATCTCTCACCTTCTCCTCTTGTGTGTGTGATTTGTGTGTGTGTCATTGTCAACCTTCCTCACAGGCTACAGATGGAGAACGAGCTCCGCCAGCGTGAAAGAGAGCAGGAGCGACAACGAGAGAAAGAGAGGGAGCGCGAGGCCGGTCTGGAGCGAGAGCGGGAGGAGGAGCGGGAGAGGGAGCTGGACAGACAGAAGGAGAGGCAGAGGGACAGACAGCAGCAGATGGTCCGGGCAGCCGAGAGTCACTACCTGGCTGAGCTGCAGGCTCGGAGGGCGGCACCGCCGGAGGACAGGGCCAGACCTGGAGAGAGGCTGACTCCTACCAGGCTGGGTACATACACACCAACACACACCCCATAACTTGGCATTACATGATTAATTGGTCTACCATTTCAGTTGTATATAGGCTTTTGCATATTTTTTCTCCACTTCAACAAAAAATGTCATTAGAGAAAATCAAAACTCGTGCAGCCATTACCAAAGGGCATTATACGGGTCGATACAGAAAAACATTTTTGTGAACATGGAGACTTTTCTTATTGTACTGCTTATTTTCACTGAGCTAAGGGACATTATAACTTACAGTTATTCTCTAAATATATGGGTCAGTGGCTGATAATTGATCACAACAGACTTTGGTGAGTGGTTAAGGTTGCATCCAGAAAGGTTTTCAAGGAGAGTGATTATAGATTTGAGATCATCAAACAAATTTTAGTAAGTAAAATTAAATATAAATATAATTTTTATATAAAAACCTGTTTTCAAATAATGATTTCACTTTTTAGGGTAGCCAGTAAAAAAAATGTATCACAATGTGAAGTAATTGGTTGCTTCACTACAAGACCTGTAGAATCAAAGAATTTATTTTAACTGAACCAGTTGTACAGCACGAAGTAGGCTAAAGGATCGCAAAGAACAACATATCATGCCCCGATCAAAAGAAGTTGATAAACTACAGATGAAAAACATAGTTGTTGAGTTCTATCAGTTTGGAAAGAGTTAGAGAGCCATTTCTGAGGCTTTGGTACTCCAGCGAACCACAGCAAGAGCCATTATCCACAAATGGAGAAACAACAGAGGGGAGCCTTCTCAAGAGTTAGATGATCACTCCAAAAGCACATTAATGATTCATGCAGGAGGTCAAAAAAAAAGAACCCTGAACAACATGTAAAGCACTGCAGGTCTCGGTTAAGGTCCGTGTTTATGACTTAACAATTAAAAATGGAGACTGATTAGAAATATCATTTCACTGGAACAAAGGAGCCAAGCCCAGCTCCTGAAAAGCAGCCCTACACCATAGGGGCATTAGGAGGAGGCCACATCTCAGTGGCTTCAGCGATAGCTGTCTATCAGATACTAAGCATAGGACTTTTTAAAGAGTCTTAATGTTGGAATAGTCCTGATGTACTGTGGCATCTCATTGCAGGATTTAGTGATCGCATAAAAGAAAGGGTTGTAGTACCAAAGCACTCAGGGCTGCTCAAGTGCTACTATTAAAGATTTGAAACAGTATGACAGAGTGAAAGTATTTTATTGAATGAAGATATGTTTGGGAAACAGAAAGAGTCAGAATTGGCCTAATTTTACAATAGTCATATAACTTTTGTTTCAGCCTTTTTTGTACTTGCTCACTGTAAGTAGTGTGAGAGTCCAGAGTGACTCCTAAATATTTGTAAGCGGAGAATTGTTGATTTGAAAAGGTAACGGGGTTGGATATGGATAAATGTCTCCTAGGTGACTGACAGTTTAAACGTGTCAGTGTTTGAACCAGACACAAAAAGTACAGTATCATCAGCATATAACAGTAATTAAGCACATGAGGAACGTCGTTGATGTACGTCAGGAATAGCAACGGTCCCTAAATGCTTCTCTGTGGAACCCCAATAGAACAGTGCAATGCCTGTGATGTTATTGCTCCAATGTTTACAACCTGAGGTCTGTCAGTTAAATATAAACAAAACATGTATATCGCAGAAGAAGGATTTAAAGAAATAAGTTTAACAAAATGTGAAGGTTAACTGTACCAAAGGCTTTTCTTTCTATGTATATACAGCTCCAGTCACATGTCCTTTGTTTAGTGCAGGATGTACCTATTCAGTGAATAGAAATGCTAAAATAGGATGCTGACATGCCGGGATTTACGTAGCAGATTATTGTCTACAAGGTTTAGTTGGTCATATAATGTTTTTTCAGTCCAGTCCAGATGCGGGGATATTTGCGCCACTGCATCCAACACTTTGCATTGCATTTAATGAAGCCTCCACTTTGTTATAATATCACTAACAGCGGACTGTGGAATATATAATAGCAAGAAAATCCCTTGACTAGATATATTGCACTGGTAGGCTCCCATTACAGTACCAAACTAGAATTTACTGAGCTCATGGGATTGACCCATTCTTTCAGACATTTTTGAAGAAGCAGCCTGCATGCCTAGCTGCTGGAATTTATACATCTGATGCCTTGGATGTGGTTGGCTTAATAATGTGGTTTTGATGAGTAAATGAATACTGGCAACGTCAGTCAGTCAGTTTCTACTGCTTCTTCCGTAGTGGGTCGTGGGGAGGCTGGTGCCTATCTCAAGCAGTCTATGGGCGGGAGGTGGGGTACACCCTGGACAGGTCGCCAGTCCATCGCAGGGCAACACAGACACACACAGGACAAACAACCACTCAAACTCTCATTCACACCAAAGGGCAATTTAGAGAGACCAGTTAACCTAACAGTCATGTTTTTGGATTGTGGGAGGAAGCCAGAGTACCTGGAGAGAACCCACGCATGTACAGGGAGAACATGCAAACTCCATGCAAAAAGAGCCCTGGCCAGGAGTTGAACCCAGGCCCTTCCTGCTGCAAGGCAACAGTGCTACCATCTGCACCACCATGCAACCCTCATTTATAGATTCACCACTATCTTATTTTTCCAGATAAAACCAAAGACCCAGACCAGCTAAGTTTCCCAACACCAAAACCTGTGCCCCTGCATCCTGGACTTTCCTCCTCCAGAGCATCTGTCCCACCGCCGGTGCCCAGCCTGCTGCCCGCTCACTTAGGGAAGCATCGTGCTGCTGCCTCTGGAGGGATCCATGAAGCTCTGGCAGCTGCCATGATGACTCAGAGGGCGAGCGAAGAAGTGTGGCTGGCACGGCAACAAGCGCAGGGACAGGACAGGGATCGTCCCCTGGAGGTGGGCCTCAGGTCTCCTGGGAAAGGTGTGGAAATGAGAAGAGACAGCCACAGGTGAAAATCTCACAGGAATTTGTCTCTGAAACTGGAATTGTACAGTTGTCTAAATGTCTTTTTTCTGCTTGATACCAAACAGAATCAATTCAGTCTATCAGAACCCAGGAAGCAAAGACATACCCCTTGGAGCTCCACCGCCGCTCATCTCCCCTAAAGGTCCCTATCATCCCCCTGCTCCTCCAACAACACTTTGGAACCCAGCTTCCCTCGTGGATACACCCGCAGACTCCCGCAGAAAATTCAACCCTCCTACACCACCAACTCGACCACCACCAGGACTGACCCGGACCGACAGGCCTCTGATGAGCTGGGGAGAAGATGGAAGCAAGAAGACTTCCAAAAGCCCAGAGAGGTGTCCCCCACTGAGAGGGACAGGTTTACAGGAGTCATGGAGCAGGACTGAGTCGGACCGAGCCCTCCACACCTTGTACCCCCGGCATCATGCCAATAATCACCACAAACCGTATGTGCCTCCATCTGCCCCGCCTGACCAGGGGTTTCAGTACCAGGCAGGCCCTCCGTCCCTGATCAGGGAGCGGCAGACGCAAGCGCCGGACAGCATGTTGGTTTACGACGAGGTTCTCCAGCAGCACCGGCGGCTGCTTAGTAAGCTTGACCTAGAGGAGAAGAGAAGGAATGAGGCCAGAGAAGGAGGTGAGAGGTGCATGATGGCTGCTGGGAATCTGAATCGTGTCTATTATATGGCTGTTATGCCTGCTGTTTTTTAAAATAGTGAATAATAACCTCTCTCCTGTTCTGCTTTTACCAGGTTATTACTATGACCTAGATGAGTCATATGATGAGAGCGATGAGGAGGAGGTAAAAGCCCATCTGAGGAGGGTGACAGAACAGCCCCCTCTCAAACTGGACATGTCCTCTGAGGTGTGTAAACATTGTAGATCTGGATTTTCTGGTTTCATGTTTTACAGTTCCTTGAAATGTATACCCCTCCATCCTTTTCACATTTTGTCAAGTTACAACTACAAACTTTAAAGTATTTTTCTTTTACTGTTTTTTTATCACTAGTTTGTGTTTGTCTAAGATCCTTGTCTAAAATGTTAGATACACTGAGATTTGTGATTGTCATATGATAAACTCTCAAAAAGTTCAAGGTGTATGAACAGTTCTTCAAGGAAATGCACATACATTTACCTGTTCATATTCCTCTTTTCAAAGAAAGTGGATTTTTTGCGTTTGTGCGGTCTCACCACACTGACCCATCGTAACGAAATTCTGACTGAGAAGAGGAGGAAGAGGAGGAGAATGATGAGAGAGCGAAGCCTCTCCCCACCAGCAGTTCAGAGCAAAAGAAAGATCTGTTCACTTTCAACACCCACAGCTTCTCTAACCACCCAGTACTCTGCTGAGCAGATGGACAGCACCCCTGAGCTGGAGGAGAAAAAAGACTTCCTCCTTATGTTCAACCTCAGCCATGTCAGCCCTCAGCAGAGGAAAGGTAATAACCTGTTTAGTAGCTGCACACACCCTATGCGAGACCCTGTAGTTGTTCTTATGATTCCTCTTGGAAAAACACATTTAGTTTTTCTCAGTTTTTGTGTTTGTTCTGAAAGACGTAGGCAGGGTGAGAAGAAAATACAGTTGGAAAGAATCAGAACATGAGCTTGTAGCAGGGTTTTCTACTTCTGCCAACAAAAGGCAACTTTAATCCACATCTTGATAACATATGGTGTCCTATAAACAGGTCATACTGGGGCCCGAGGAAAAACATAGTGCCCTTCACTTCCCTTCTTTTGTCATTATTTTTCATACTTGTCGAAGACCTGCTTGAGGCAAATTGTTCCTAATTGCTACCAGAACTTCTTGTCTGCAAAATAATATGCAAAGGTTTCAGCATATATATTAGATTTTTCTGATTGTTTGACTTTCCCATTAACAGATACCTGTCCTTAAAGCTACTTTAAAAATTATAAATTGTCATAATAGATTTTGTCAATTTACGAATGAATCCAACTATTTTTGAATGTTTGAATCTTAATGTTTACCTGGTTGTTGTACCATAGTCAAACAGTCATATCTCATAATACCTTTTAGGCATTGATGCAAGCAGTTCTTCTTGTCAAAATGTCATTCTTACAGGTCAAAAGTGAAATCAAAACGGAAATTTATAAACAGAAATTGAACTGGAGATGCCCCTAGAAATTGGCTTTTCACCTGAATCGGCTCTGATCAGTGAAACTCAAAAACCAGTTTCTTTTTGAGTCCCTGAGTTCATTCAGGCTGTGAAAGGACGAGAGGGAGCCCGACTTTCAGCAGACACAGGAAGGTTGAACAGAGTACAGCTAAACTTGCTCTGTTTTATAATTTTGAGCTTTTAACATCTGTCCTTTACCGATCATGCGCGATTTGGGAATGTTGGCAGCCTTTTAAAAATCTTAGGCTACGTTTGCACTGCAGGTCTTTATGCTCAATTCTGAATTTTTTCTCAAATACTATTTGTTTTTTGCATGGTTTTTTAAACTACTAATTAAATGCAACCACCATCAGACTTCAGTCGGAATGATTCATGACCCCAAAGTGACCCGCATATGCAGAGGGAGAATGTAAATGTCACACAGCAGCACACTGTTCATCAACTCTTTGTTATTATTTATTGTTGAGCAATGGGGTCCAACAATATTATGTCCACATCATAAGATGAAAAAAGGTAAGGAAAAAGAGGGCACAGCTATTAATAATGACCTTTTGTGGAGAAGTTACTGCTACTTCTGTAAAGAAATCTGTGTGGATGTGTAGTCGGAGCCAGGACTCCGTAAAAGTCGGATTAAATGCGACATGAGCTTTCTGATTGCGGATACGTAAGGGATACATATCCGATTAAGTACCACAATTAAAGGTGGCACAATACATATTTTTCTGCAGGTGAAAAGATTGGATTTGGGCTGGACTTGCCTACAGTGTGAACATAGCCTTAGTTATGCTATGGATCCACATTCTCTCTGTCATACATATAGAGATGTGGTTTTAGTAGTGGTAGCCAGGTAACTGTGCTACTCGCTAATGTATGATGCAAAAGACCTGATAAATTGTCAACTCCATAATGCTTTTCTTATGTCTTCTTATATTCAGAATAGGCTCAAATTGGCTATCAGCGTTTTAAAGCTTTACAAAAACCTGAGATTGGAAGTCAGCCACAAAATACTGAATGGTGAATCCATACACTTTATATTTTATGGTCTCTGCAGTAACAGGGTATTAGGAGAAAACAAACTGTGTGAAATATAAAAATCCTTGTTTAAAACTCAATAATATTTTAAAGGAAAATTGAACAATTATGTGTAAAAATAAAACCCAACCCATACCTCAACAAAGAAAAAAAAACAGGAAGGGGTGGGAAAAATACATTATATCGTTCCTTTAAAAACAAATTCATACATGAAATGTAAGATGATACAATAACACACAACGCATATAACATATAACACACATGCTATTGAGCTGTATGTCACATTATACTCATGCGCTTAAGTTGAACAGACAGCCAAACGCACACATGATTCTCATGTATAAAAATGCAGTAGGAAAGAAAAGGGGGGGTCATAAAGCTAGACTTAGCTATGTAGCCGATTCATTTAGCCGACAAATCTCAAAGAGGATGATTTAAAAATATTTTAGGGAAGGACAGCAAATGCTGTTAAATTTGTCACTTTGAGTCATCAGGACATGATGACTGAAAAACAATTAAAAAGGTCATTTTAACATTTTATTCCTTGACAGGATATCTATCGCAGACATCGATAATTCTATTTTTACTCGTAAAACATTCAAAGCTTCAAATTTATAACATTTCAGCTATCTAAAATAATATTTTTACTTGGAGAACTTCACATTTCAGTCAGTCTACTAATTTTAGTACCCTTTGATAATTTAGAGTATAATTTTCAAAAATAAACACTTAACAGAACAAATAAACAAACAAATCTATGCTGTAATTTTACTCTGGTGCCCATAGCCCCTTGCCACCGCCCCCAACACCCAGGCACAATGGTTAATTGTGCTCCTCACCATAAAACATGTGAATAATGATAAATGAATATAGGTTAATAAGAAATACCATAAATATCTACAGCCCTATTTATATGTTTTAAATTCCCTTTCTTTAAAATGAGCTTCCTGTTTTCACCGATTCATATTTTTCTGTTACCAATGCACCTTTCTGATGAGGTAATTGTATATAAAACATGTTTTGATGGTGAAAACATATAGAAAGTGAACAGTTATCATAGAAACTGTAATTTGGACGCAGCTGGTAAAATATGGGAAATTATAAGCCTTGGTTAAATTTTACTTTTAATGGCCTCTGCTGCACTGACTCAGATAAACCATTCAGTGACATTTTTCCATCACTTTGGGCCAGTCTGCCCTTTAACTCTCTTTTTTTTAATGAATGAATGATGGGTGTTCTCATTCTGTCTTTTTCTCTGTAGATAAGGAAAGGACAGATGAGCTGCTGAGGGCTATTCAGAGGAAGACTGTGACATTAGACACACTCAAATATAATCCTCTGCCGCTGTGTAGAAGGCCTGCTGCTCTCTTAACTGGTGAGCCACAGACACGTACACCACAAATCTGGACAAAACATGATTCTGCGGTTGGAAAACATTTTGTTTAATAGAGTCTTTTTTGA